GTTGTTGTTGTTTTTTAAAGAGGAACTAGAGTATGAATCAGTTCCAAACCAGTTCTAAATATTTCAGCTCTTCACATTTCTTGTCTCTGAACTGAAAGTCATCCAGGGTTACACAACAATGTACAAAACTGGAAAACTTTCAGATCCCCCTCCAACATGTGGTGGGAAAGTGTGACGCGATTGCTAAACCAACGCTGAAGTGAGTTTCATTGAATGCATCAGGGGTTAGAGGAAGAGTACACAATTTCTTTCGCAGGTTTCAATTGTTTTCTTTTTGATTTAATCTGATTCTCAGAATAGCATTATTTTGGAACAAAGATTTTTACATTGTTTTGCTTAATATTTTACAACCAGACTGTTGACTGACGTATCATTGAACAAAAATTCACCCCTATTAGTTTACATAATGATGGGGAAATAGCTTCATGATGGGTGTAACAGCAACTAATAGGGTATTAGGTGAAGGTGCTACAGTACGATTGATTTAAAGTGACACTATCACACTCAATAAGCTCAAAATTACATGATTTACTTGGAACCCACATTTACTGTGAGTGTCCAAAGACTTAAGTTGGATGCTCAGTGCTCCAAAGTTATTGCTTCTCTGAGCAAGTTGACAAAATTCAAATCAGAGTTCAGGTCTCGCTCGCATCAGAATAGGAGATGGCCAAAGAGCGTTCAGATACAATTAGAACCCCTCCATACCTTCATCCAACATTGAACCAAATTGGATCTATTTTGAGATATGAAAAAGTGTATCAATTTTTTCCCTTGGTCCGCTTTTTTTATACTCCTCTTCTGACTTGGGTTCCACTCAAGAAAAGAGGTGAAAATAATAATGATATATACAAGTTTGCATTACTCATGTCCTTGCCTGGGAGTCAGAAGACCTGAGTCTATGCTTGGCTCTGCCACTGACTGTGACCTTGGAGAAGTTATTTCACCTCTATGCCTTACTCCCCCTCTTGCCTTTTGTCTGTCTGGTTAATTTAGGGGGTAGAGTTTCAAATGCACCAGTGTGAGGTAGGTGCCCAGCTCCAATCATTATAGCTCTTTTGGACAGGGGCTGTTCTCTAAGTTGGGTCCTAATCTTGGTTCAAATAATTAATATGAGAGTTGTGATCCCCAGCCTGATTTCTAGACCTTTGGGGTTCATATAGAAGCTTTGGCTAAACCTCTGAAACTAGGGATGTTTACCCTCATGGAATCTCTATCCTTTCTGAAATTTGCCCATTGCTACGCACATTCCTACCCAGCTCAGCCTTACTGCTCCATTTCTAGCAGCAACCAGTTTTCTTTCTTACTTTCAAATACAATTACAAGAAGTAAATCTACTCAGCAAGAATCTTGTAAATTTCAACACACTTCCTGCTCTGATGAAGAGAGCAAAATGGTTGGAGGGGAGAGAGGAGGAGGGGAAAGGAAAAAGAGGATCATGATGTTCATGCTCATGGCCAGGAACAAAAAAAGAGTTAGTGTGTTAGCACAAAAATGCTCCCTGGCAATATCTGAGATTCATTTGCAGCAACTGATCCATGAGCTTTAGTGAGAGGAGCGTGTCTCAGAATCAATTCTTTTTCTGTTAATCTTTACTTGATGGCAAAACCTTTAGCCCAGTTCATAGAATTTGCATATGTCTTTTCAGACAAGGGCTAAGAGATTTCATCCATTCCTTTTAGGAGGAGAATTTTACAGGATCATAGAAATGTAGGTCTGGAAGGGACCTCAGTAGGTCATCTTGTCCATCCCTTCATGCTGAGGCAGAGAGCAAAATAGATGCACTTAAATGATTTTGGAGCACAAGTCCCATTGTAGGTCAATGGGATGTATGCTCCTAACTCCCTTAGGTTCTTTTGAAAAATCTCTTCATTAAAAGGCAAATAATAATAGTCCTCACATTATTCTACAAAAGGAATAATGACACAATGGATTTAGACCAGAACTAGGAGCCAATAATATCTGAGTTCAGAACCTAGCTCTGCCTTTGATTTGTTATTGGAAAATCATGTGACTTCTCTGTCTCTCAATTTCCCCATTGATAAAAGGGGATTAAAAATCTGACCCATCTATTTTAGGGTATAGGAGGATGGGCTTTAATTCTTCGAAGATACACTCAGTATCATCAGTCAATATAAAATATTTACTACATGAAATTTATTCATAGGTCAACCTTAACATGTTCAGATTTTTTTCATATTATTGGTATGGTTTCTCTTTAATCACATATCTAAGATACAGGGCAAGATATTTAAAAATACCTAAATGACTTAGCAGCCTAAATTCCATTAAAAGTCTTGCAATTTAGGCTCCTAAGTCACATAGCGGCTTTTGAAAATTTTACCTACAGTTTTGTTGCATGTCTTCATGATAATGCCAAAAATATTTACATACAAATATTCATGAATGTATAGATATTACTATTTGTAACACAATAGTACATAGAGGCCTGAACTGAAATCAAAGTCCAATTGTGCTAGGCATTGTACAAGCATATGTTCAAATACTGTTCCTGCATCTCACATGTTACTGTAAAATCAAAACTCTCCACAGGGCTTTATGTGCAGTATAATGTGCTCTAGAAGAAAACTGTTGCCAGCACCATTAGAATTTAAGATGGTTCCAATGGAATGCCATTTTTAAAACATGATGATTTTCTGTTGGAAGCAGTAGAGAGCAGAGTCAACTCAGTAGCCCTTGATTTATGAACTGTTTTGTTGCTCCCAGAATCCCATGATGTTTGTGGTTTCTTAAGGAACTATTGTTTGAACCAGTCAACAAGAAAAACAATTATAACCCTAAGCATGTTTTTTTATTTGAAATCATATTGGCCTTTGATCAAATTTTGCCTCTTTTTCACATCTCACATCATGGAGTTTTTTCAAATAATAAAACTGTTCCCAATGTTTTGTTGTTGTTCAAAGGCAACTTATTAAATGGTAGGTCAAGAGTCTGCAATGGACGACACTACAAGGGTTATTTAAAGCCACGAGTAAAGCAAATCATACAAATTTTCCAAAGACTGTGTTCCAAGGAGTATTTTTGGAAACATTCATGTTGTGTTTTTTAATGAAGGCCACATTCTGAAGCTACAGCACCATATGTCACACATTCATTCTTGTACCCCCCCAAAAAGGGGGGGGGAAGAAAAAGAAAGAAAAGGAAAGTATGTTTGGCTTTTAAGTGTTTTTGGAATAGTGTCTAAGGGCTTGTCTATACTTACCGCGCTGGTTCAGCGGCAGGCAATCGAACTCAGAAGTGCTCCCCGTCGACTCCGGTAATCCTGCTCACCGAGAGGAGTACGTGGAGTCGACGGGGGAGCCTGCCTGCCGGGTCTGGACGGCGGTAAGTTCGAACTAAGGTACGTCGACTTCAGCTACGTTATTCACGTAGCTGAAGTTGCGTACCTTAGTTCGATTTGGGGGTTTAGTGTAGACCAAGCCTAAGCATGCCTAGCGTTGTTCCTCAGATGTAAGAAGAATTTTTGGCCTGTTAATTTAGCTCATCCAGTATTGCTCTCCATGGGACAGCTCCTCCAGTACCTTGAATCTTGTGTGGTCATTTATACCCATGCAAAATGTCTACAGAGTTGGTGCAAAATACTCAGGCTGGTTGGCCAATGTTTTTTTTTCTTTCCATGGGGAAGTTTGATTTTTCATTGGAAAACCTAAAGCTAAAAATGTTCAACTAAAGACTTGAGAAACAGGGGAGAGGGGAGAAGGAACATTGGTTTTTGGTTGAAAAATCTAATTTTTTTGAGGAGAGCAAGCACTTTCAACAAAGAATGTTGTTCAGTTGAAAACTCAGTTTTCTGTCAAAAAAGTTATGACAGAAAATTTTCAGCAAGCCCTACAATCAACTCTGATTTGTCAGTGTTTCAACCCCCCTAGGCATGGGTATAAATGACCATGAAATGTGCCAGGCATTGGTTAGTCAGTACCTCAGTCTCTCTTTTATTACATGTTGCAATGGCCCCTATTCTCCTCTGACTTAAATCAGTTTTACACCAGTCAAACCCCACTAATGTCAGTGGAGTTACCCCTGATTTACAGCAATGTGAGAGGAGAATCTTGTCCACTGATGTCATGTATATGACATCATCTGCTTAGCTCTAGGTAGAAAAGAGGTTTAGCCCTTTTAGCAATATAACTAGCAGAACTTTGCAAAACTGTGGAAGAAAAACTTTAGCAATCCTAGCTTAGTCCTTCTGGAGCTCAGTAGGCAATCAAGAGCTTAGAAGACTGTGCATGTGTGAAATACTCTCCCATGTTGGTATGATACTGGGAATGATGATTCAAGTCTAAGGGTTTTTTTTCAGTTATGCAGTTACAAATCCAAAGTACGTCTATTGACGTCAACTGAGTTTCTCGTAATTTGTAGCTGTGTCACTGAGAGCAGAACCAAATTGGCCCTCAGAACCAAATTTTGAAATGTAGGTGCTTATGTTCATTTTCAATGGACTGTTTCAATTGACACTTAACACTTCAGTCAGGTACTAGTGTGTCTGCGAGCTCCCCTGAGTGCCTCAATTTGTAATGGGACAACCAGATTTAGGTTTCCAAGCTTGGCAACTGGGTCCATCATTTCAAGAATATCTCTCTTCTAGTTCATTCATTCCAGTTCTTTGTTCAAAAGGTCCATCTGCAGGTGCTTGTCATTCCTATTAAGGCTTCTTGGTAATCCATCCTGACCAAATGCAACTTGTGAGAAACATTAAAAATATAATATATAAAATAGAAAAAAACAAATGTTCTTTGTTGTCCATTTTGACTAGCTACAAAACCTTTAAAAAGTTCAGAAAATTGTCAGCAAGTTTTATTTTACAAGTACAGTCCCAAGTTAATGATGTTTTCTGAGGTGAGAGGCATAATCAATAATCAATATCTGTACAACTTAGCAGGAGTTACTGAAACCATAGCAGTAATGTGCATAGTTTAGGTGTCATGGAAAGTCCAGCATAGGAAATCAAAAGTAAACTTTCTTCTCTTCTTTTTCTTTTGTAGATTTCAAATGAGGAGAGAGAACAATTAGCCATTGGAACCACGGACGTGTCCAGTGAGCTGAGGCCACAAGACGGATGACTGAGCGCTGTGATCACTAGAGGCTTGTAAAAATGCAAAGAAATAAGCTCAGCTACCCAAATTCTTCTCAAGAATGCACCACAGTGAGGGCAAAAAAAATGCAGAAGAGATTTCTCCACAAGGATGGCAGCTGCAATGTGTATTTCAAACACATCTTCGGAGAATGGGAGAGCTACGTGGCTGATATTTTCACCACATTAGTGGACATCAAATGGCGCCACATGTTTGTGATATTCTCTTTATCTTACATTCTTTCTTGGCTGTTCTTCGGCTTGGTCTTTTGGCTTATAGCAATCCAACATGGAGATTTAGTACATGATGAAGGAATAATCCCTTGTGTTGCTAAGGTGCACAGCTTCACAGGAGCATTCTTATTCTCACTTGAAACCCAGACGACCATAGGCTATGGCTTTCGTTGTGTCACTGAAGAGTGCTCTGTAGCGATCCTCATGGTGGTTCTACAGTCGGTATTAAGCTGCATAATTGACACATTCATTATTGGAGCTGCCTTGGCTAAAATGGCCACCGCTCGAAAGAGAGCTCAGACCATCCGCTTCAGCTACTATGCCACCGTAGGCCTAAGAGATGATAAACTTTCCCTCATGTGGCGCATTGGTGATTTCCGGCCAAACCACATGGTTGAAGGCACAGTAAGAGCTCAGCTTCTGCGCTACGTGGAAGATAAGGAAGGGAGAATGACAATGGAATACAAGGACTTGAAGTTACTAAATGACCAGGTCATACTTGTTACACCAGTGACCATCGTACATGAAATTGACCATGACAGCCCTTTATACGGTCTAGATCGGAAAGCTTTGGCCAAAGACAGTTTTGAAATCTTGGTTACATTTGTCTACACTGGAGATTCAACTGGAACTTCACACCAGTCGAGAAGTTCATACGTCCCCCGAGAAATCCTTTGGGGACACAGGTTCAACAATGTCTTGCAGGTGAGGAAAAAATACTACAACGTGGATTGCCTACAGTTTGAGGAAACCACAGAGGTTTACGCTCCCTATTGCAGCGCAAAGCAACTGGATAGGAAGGAACATGAATGGAACAGAACTAAGAAAACATTGGACAGAGGAACAAGTACATCAACACTGGAGGTCAGAGATACATCATTTAAGGCAGTTGCCCTCATCAGCAGTTCTGAAGATCCAGAAGATCTAATGAAAGCCGTCAACCAAGATTCTAGAGAACTGCCTTATCAGAAAGATCCACTGACCTTAAACAGAATCTCCAAGATGTAGCTATTCATTGCAATTAAAATTACTGCCCCAGCTGTTCCCTAAGCAGCCTGCAAAATATAAGCAGTGTTAAACTCCATACACACCAGTATTTACATAATAAATCTAATTCTAAGTGTATACTCATCCAATCAGAGAATGAAAACAATATAATATGTCCTGTAGGTAGATTTTTCAAAGCTACCTAATTTATTTGGATGGCCAGTTCCCAAATTAATGGGATTTGGGTATCCATAATCTCACTGTGGCTTTGAAAATCCCTCAAAATTTCTCTACTCAAAACCTGAACACATATTGTATTTTGAATCTCAGAATTTTAGATGAAATTTTTTTGCAAAGATGCTTTTTGAAAATGTTTGGGAAATTTGATTGTTTTGAAATCAGCATATACCGTGGTAGAATCTTTTGAAAATTCATGTTTTTGAAGAAAAATCCATAATATGGTAGTGAGAACAGATCTGTAATATGGTCATAGTGATGAACTCTCTCAAGATTCTTTGCAATGCTCAGGAAGTGAAACCCATAAAACAGTATTGCTGGCTTGCTTTTGTTATTTGTCCCCGCTTTATCTGATCACTTTTTGTATTCTGGATCCTAATCTAAACCCTTAATACAGATTCCCTTGTTAATCTGGTTTTCACAGCAGTCTACCTGTAATCTCCTCTGCATTATCTACAGTGCACGCCTGTTACAATTAATACAGTTCCTCGCATGGAACACTTTTCCAACAAGAAAAGGTGTCTCTGGAAACAGAACTATTGAACTGATGATGTAATGGGCGATCACTCGTTACCGAGGCTGATCATCTTCCATGGGAGTTATGGGTCCTCAGGTGGCTAATAAGGCCATTCCTTGAACCACAAGTTCTATTACAATGAGGGCAGATGTTTTCAGGCTTAGCAGGAGTCTGTTGACCACGACTGGAAGCCAGTCTCTCCTTCCTCCCGTGCCTCTTGTCTGCTCAGTGAGCAAGTTCAAAATGCAGAGGACCATCACATAGGATTTCACTCCATTTTAAGCGATCCTGGGCAAGTGTCTCCCAAGTGTCAACGTCAATATTACACTTTTTTAGGTTGTCCTTCAGCAAGTCCTTATAACACTTCCATTGTCCATCCACGTTACGCTGCCCCTCTTTCAGCAGAGAGAACAGGACCTGTTTTGGGAGGCGATGGTCTGGCATCTGGACAACATGACCAGTCCAGCAAAATTGCTGACGGATGATCATTGCCTCGATACTGGTGGTCTTTGCCTCTTCCAGAACACTAATATTGGTGCACCTGTCTTCCCATTTGATCTTCAGAATCTTACGAAGGCAGCGTTGATGTTGCCTCTCAAGGACTTTCGAGTGGTGTCTATAGGTTGTCCAAGTTTCGGTGCCATACAACAGTGTTGGGAGACTAATGGCTTGATAAACAAAAAACTTGGTGAATTGTTGAACTATGCACGTTGCAAATGCATTAAAACCATTTGGGGATTTTTCATTCTCTATCACCAATGGTCGGTCTGGCAAACACCTACGTGAGCAGATTTACTCATGTAATAAAGCAACATGTGTGAGTAAGTGTTTGTGGAAGAGGGTTTTATAAATAGAGTTTCATTGTATACAAGTTCACAATAAGCAGGTTGCCCTTTTCTGGAAACGCCTACTGCTAGTCAAATCCAGAGTACAGTCATATGTTTCCTGCTGTAAGTACAGATATAGATGTGTGTGTCTGTACAAGAATGTATGGTTTGGGGCATAAGCCAACTGGTGTGGGTTAGGAAGAAACTTCTTCTGTGGGCAGGTTAATTCATAACAGTCCACTACCAGAATTCTTATAGATTTATCTGAAGCATCTAAGGCTAGCCATTGTTGGAGACAGGACTATAGATCAGTGTTTCTCAAACTAGGGGTCCTGACCCAAATGGGTGTCGCAAGGCTATTATAGAGGGGTCTCAAGATCACAAAAAATATTGCTGGGGGGAGTGGGAGAGGGAGACAGCAGCTGACGCCCTGTATCATGCCACCTTTACTTCTGTGCTGCTGCTGGCAAGTGGCGCTGCCTTCAGAACTTGGCACCTGGCCACCAGCCACAGCTCTCCAGCCACCCAGCGCTGAAGGAAATGCCTCCACCACAGAAGTAGTGGCAATACCAGGGTGTTCAACCCTATGAGTATGTACAGTAATTTGCTATCACTTTGGGGGGGCAGGGGGCTGAAATATTTTCAAAGGGGGGCCCGGAAAAAAAAGTTTGAGAACCACTGAATGAATTACTGGTCTGATCCAGTTTGGCAATGCCTACATTCCTGCGTTTGCTGTTTTTATTGCATTTGTCAGAGTATATAAAATGTTGTATAATTAAGCCTGGGAATGCATGCATTGACTTTTCATTAATGAAGACACAGGAATAAAGACATGCATTAAGGGACAATGTATGCTACTGTCACATACACCCCATGATGGCACATTGTAACCCACATCCTCTCTGGGTCAGAGTGTTTGCAGCTTCCATGTCTTGTGCACTGAAGATGTCACGGAAAGATTTTCAGGGCGCAAGGTGGTACGGCTGCAGAATGAGAATTTAAAAACAAAAGTGAAGCCCTCAACATTATGAATACATTCAAGGGAAGCCTCTTATCAAGAAGTCAGCTCATTTCACAGAACAATCCATCCACCACCCTGTGCTATAGGTGACTTCCACTAGGTATCCCCCTCATCTAAAGTGACCATTGATCCTGGGCTGTTAATCAAAGACGCTTATTGAGCCCCAGCTTCCTTGGCTGTTGAGGGCCCTTTGATAGTGGAACTCGTGTGGTTCCACCAGCTAAAGGTGTGAATGGGATACAGAATCTCTGTCCAGCATGGAGTCCCATTTCACACAAACTTCCTGTATGATGTCATGCAGTGGGCGGAGCATGGCTGGCTCCTGTTTGAATCTTCCATCCTCTCTCCCATCACCGGACTTTGCAAACTCCTGCAGTGGCTGCTTCAGTCTGAATGGCACCGCAGCCTGGTGGCGGGTGAGAAAGAGGGCTTTTCGCCTCCCACCGGCTCTGGGTATCATCCCCGTGCCAGGCTGGGAACTAGATGGAGAATTTGCCCCTGGAAAGCATGCAGCTTTTCCTCACTCACCGCTGTGGCAAAAAAATATGCACATCGGCAGCAGAAAAATGGGCAGAGGGTTTGCACCAAAACCTATTGAAATTAATGGGAATCTTTTCACCCAGTGATCACGGGCCCACAAATGGCGAGGCTGTGCCTTTCAGATATGGCCCGGCGTTGGAATTATTTGCTCAACGGGAACTCCCCCAGGCAATTTGACTGACTTTTGCAGAGTTCTGGAGAGAGGATTGGGGTGGTGGGGAATGTAGCAAGGCTGCAGCACCTGCTCCTTGTACAGAGGCAGATCTGAAGATTAGGGCAGAAGGGCAAAGAACGGTACGTAGCTCATCCCTTTGCTGCCCACCATAGAGAGACTAGGACTGGGAGAGACTGACTGCACCAGCAGAGAAGGAGACTGTGCTCTGAACTGAACAACCAGTTTGCCTCTTCCCTTTATCCAGCTCATTTTATTTCTTTTATTTCAGCAGAACATGCCTGATCATGCGAATTGTTGACTATAAAGTAAAAATCTCTTTGCAGTGGCCCCACGTATCATTAGTACAAGCTGCATCTCAGTTATTCTCTCCGCAAGCTCAGAACTATTGTTCTGAAGTCAAGGTTAGTTTATGATACAGGGAATATAATAAGACCTTATTATTTAAAAAAAATTTTTTTTTCCAGATCCGCCCCCACCATTCATTCAGGCAGTTGGCATTTCCTTCCCCATTATCATATATCATTTAGCGCATGTTTTCTGTGAAGTCAGTTTTCACATGGGGAACATAATGTATAATCCCTTTGTTTACTCCTCATTTCTAAACACTGCGCAGGAGGTCTGACTTTGGCTCTCTACCTAACATGAAGCATTAAGCTGCACAGTCATTTCAGCAAATCGCAGGTGCAGTACTGTGCACTGAAGGCGTATTTGTAGGAACAAAACCTGCCTGTAAACACTTTACGGACATTTTTAAAAAAGTTTTGGCTGTTTCTAATCTGGGAGAATGCAGAGAGAAGGGGGTTGGGAGCAAGGTGACGATTTTAGGCAGCCCAATTAGGCTACATTTTAGCAGCTCTCTCATTTTCAAATCATCAAGAAAGCAAGCAAAATAACATGTAGGGCAGGGGTCGGCAACCTTTCAGAAGTGCTGCGCCGAGTCTTCATTTATTCACTCTGATTTAAGGTTTCGTGTGCCAGTCATACATTTGAACGTTTTTAGATAGTCTCTTTCTATAAGTCTATAATAGAGAACTAAACTATTGTATGTAAAGTAAATAAGGTTTTTAAAATGTTTAAGAAGATTCATTTAAAATTAAATTAAAATGCAGAGCCCCCCCCCGGACCGGTGGCCAGGACCTGGGCTGTGTGAGTGCCACTGAAAATCAGCTCGCGTGCCATAGGTTGCCTCCCCCTGATGTAGGGTAAGAACAAGTCCAGCGACTAAAGGAGCAAAGTTGGTGTCAGAGTAACAGCCGTGTTAGTCTGTATCCATAAAAAGAACAGGAGTACTTGTGGCAGCTTAGAGACTAACAAATTTATTAGAGCATAAGCTTTCGTGGGCTACAGCCCACTCTTCAGCATGCATCCGAAGAAGTGGGCTGTAGCCCACAAAAGCTTATGCTCTAATAAATGTGTTAGTCTCTAAGGTGCCACAAGTCCTCCTGTTCTTTTTAAAGGCCCAAAGTAATCATTGTATAGAGATTAGGGCCAAGATAGAAAATTTAGATCTGGATTTTGTTCAACTCCGCTCATTCTCTGCCCCCATCCTCTTCAAAAATTAATCCAGAATCTGGTTCCAACAAGTTGAAGCCTGCTTCTAAGGTCAAATCCTAGCTCTACTGGAGTTGAATGGAAGTGAATCAAAGAAGCAGCATGTAGAGTTGGTACTAAATTGGAAAATTCAGCTCTGGACTTTGACCACTGCCAAATTCAGAACTGATTCTTGCATATCTCTAGGAGTGTTCCTCTTTTTTTGCAAATGGGATATTTATGTTGCCACCCATGCTCACTTCTTGCACAACGCTTGCAATGAAACCCCAGAACACCTCAAAACTCATTCATCATTTCAAACCCAAATCTCACTCTCAGCTTCTCAAAAGGTTCCCAAGCCTTCAGGCCAGACGTGGGCCCAGAATGGAATCAAACTGGGATGACTGAGATTCTGACATAAATCAGTCCCTTCACTTTCCCTCGCAAAGGAAAACCCCATGTAGACTGGAACAGAACCAACGTTTTGCACCAACCTATATGAAGGAATACAACTGGGTTTCATAGAACTCTAGTTGGACTTCATACAACTACTGAAAATCAGGTAGGTTGTTAGTGGATGGCAGACATGCAGGGCTGGTAGACCTTGGTTTCCATTTACAGACAAGGGGGGTAAGAAATCAAATCCCTTGGGTTTGCTCTTTGGCACTGGCACACTGTAAAGATGAAGGGTTTGACACACACAAAAATAATCGTCTGACATTAGCTCAGTCATAGCCCCTGAGACATATTTTTGGTCATCTGTGCGCCACCTTGTGGCCATAACAGGATACAGGCCTGAGCAGTCATTAAGCATGCTGGCCCCACTTGCTTCATGACGGATGCCGAGGTATTTAATGAAACATTTCTGGAAAGGACCGACTAGCAGAAAAGGGCTATAGACTAAAAATAATTCCTAAAGCTCATCCCAGAAAAGCCATCCCTTCTCTTTCCATTCATCTTAGCTATTTCCCACCTGCCCATCTCTACAAAATCTGAGCACCAAAGTAGCATCTGTTTGCCAATAACATTTAGGAGACATGGAATGCTCCAAATATTCAAAGCACTGTACAAGCATCAACCAATGTATTGTCCTGATACGCCGATGCACTACATTAAAAAGTGTTGTTACAACACATCACAAATGGGGAAGCTATGACAGAGCAATTATATGGCATTGCCCAAATACAGGATTAGAACTCAAGACTTCCTAAATCTGACCCTTATGCTCAATCCATTAGACATCACTGCCTCATTGCAATAAATCAAAACTCAGTGAATAAATAATGTTGCTATAAATACTGATTCTACACATGTTCAGTCCCTCTGATTTATACTGTATCATCGCTCTTATATATAGAAGCAGAACTGGAGTGTTGCTTGCTTTGCCACTGTAGGTTTATATAACCAGCCAAAAACTGGCTACGTTCCACCAGGGACCTTTCCAATAGAACAACAATCTATTTACAGTCAAAGATATTTACTTCAATGGGTATCAGTGACAAGAAGTTAAATGCTGCCAGTCTGTTTGGCTCGGCATGTGTGAGCCCAAGGGCTATAAAGATAATTCATTAAATACAACTACAAAATATCACTCTATGCTTATAACTGTAAATAATACAGAAGAATAGGCAGACTCTAAAATGGAAATGCCCTTATAATCACTTCACACTCAATGCTCCCTTCACTGTGCATAGCTGAACACAAATTTTCAAACAAGCGCCTTTGCGCTTTCTTCCATGCTACATGGGAGGAGCTCCCTGTAAACATCTGCGGTGCAACCCCCTTGTCTTCCTTCATGTCCCTCCTTAAAACTCTCCTGTACCACGGTGCCCACAGAAAACTTGACAATGGTCAGGCAGCTGGAGTCACTGTTTTACATACTGAGCTGTATTGTCTCATTATTTCCTTGTGTACCCTCTGTCTGTTGTCTCTCATCTTATATTTTGATTGTAAGCTCCTTGGGGCAGGGACCATCTTTTTGTTATGCATTTGTACAGCACCTAACACAATGGGGGCCTTGGGTCTATAACTAATGTCTCCAGGTGCGACTACAATACAAAAATGAACAACAGCACAAAGACAGGCAGGCCAAAGTCCCAGTAAGGTCACTAACCTCCACTGATCATGGCAGATATGACCAGCACTCATTCCCTATATAGGCAGCCTGTTCGGGGCATGCTATAGCAGTGGTTCTCAACCTTTCCAGACTATTGCAACCCTTTCAGGAGTCTGAACCTCGATCCCTGCTGCCCAGGGCGTAAGCATATAACTTAGCTTTGGGGGCCCTTGTAGCATGGGGTCTTGGGCAACTGCCTGCTTGCCACCCTTTAATGTTCGCCTGGCACTTGCAACCCCTCTAAACCTCTCCTGTGACCTCCCTCGGGTTGAGAAAAATTGATCTAGATGAGTCGATGGACCCCCAGGAAGACCTCGGGTACTTTGTACCTCCCTGGTGGAGAACCACTGGGCTATAGGATTTTAAGTTCTGTAAGAAATATGGTTAGTTTTAATGG